AAAAGTAATATACTGCCTCCAACAACATGAGTGTACAGCATATGCATCTATGTAAGCCTCATAATGAACTACAATGGCAAATTCTGCTGTTGCAAAGAAAGCAGTATTCGGGATGCACTGAAAAGAAAAACAACTTTTCAAGAAAAACAAAAACCATATTACAGGTCTCAGACTGACTGATTTTCGAATTCTAAAATCTCCTAAAATCTCTTTATTTCCAGAATTTTAAAATACATTTTCTTCTTTTCCTGTCACTGCAGCGCAAATACTGCTTTTTAATTCAGCATATTTTAATAGCTTTAAGCAGGTAGTACAGTAAGAACAGGTGCATTTCAATAAATTTGAATATCGTGGGGAAAAGTATTTTTGTTTTAATGACTCTGTGTAAGAAACAGTTTTGAGTTTGACTTTTTTGATCTACAAGTAAATTTCTACTTCTATTTTCAACGATATTCATTTCTTTGAAAGACACCTGTGTAGTGGTACTTAAATATCAGGTTTATTCCGGGTAACTTAATGGACAATGCTTTACTTTTCATAGAGAGCTTTCTCCACCTAGTGGTGAGTTTTGAAAATGCAGCGATTCGGATGACCGATTCGTTTTTATTGACCTGATCAAATAGCCATCATCAAGGTTATGGGGAGCATATCCGAATTTCTGAATTACTCACATGCAATCAAAGCACCGCGTTGACAAGAAAATGAACAATATCACAAAGAAATTCCAAAGGCAAATGGCCATGAGGATGCATTCAAAACAAAAATGGCCTTGCTCGAACATCTGCCATTTTGTAACTCTTGTCATGTCCCAGAAACAACAGCAGAGACTGCACACGGCCAACTCCGACAAGTGTAACACGCAAGTAGTGTGTAGCTACATTTGGTCTGAGGCAAGGAAATACAATGAACTTGAAAAAAAAAGCACCACAGCTGTTTGGAAATAGCACCAGTTTTCAGAATGTCCAGGTATATGATGTGTTTGTTTTTTGGCAATGTGCAGCACTGACTTGAATAACATCAAGTGTGCTGAGTACCTTAATAAGCTGCTGAAATTCTCAAACCAAACTGAGTTAAGAAAACATGACATGACCAAACACATGCTCGTGCTTCAGCAGAAAAACAAAACAAAACACATTTGTAAGTCCGAACGTCAGTTGATAAAGCAGCCATCGCGAATCAAATATGTTTCATATGGTGAATACATGCATGTCAAACCATTTCCGGTTTGAACCCAACGAAGCTTTGGAGGACCGTAGTAAAGGTAAGAGCGCCGTCATTCTTGTAAGCTTCAAATACGAATACAATAAATTCATATCTCCAAACGATGAATTAAACATAATGGCCCACAGTCAAATTGATATTCGCTATTCAATGGCAAGCAAACGTTGCTATAAAAATAGGTTGCTGTGTTTGTATACAGTACAGTGAAATCCATTAGAATGCACCATTCTGTGAAATATTTAGTTTCTTATTCCTACTGCACCGCTACAATATAAGCACAGATGAATATAAAAATAAATATAGACTTGTACATTCGTTTAAAACGTTAACTGTCCTCAAATGAGATATATTAGAGACGGGCCATTCGGGGCCCCCACACGTACATGGGTAGAATATATTTATATAGAGATTGTTTATATTTCCTGGCTCTATTACAAATCACCTAATTTCTATTCTTGGAGGATATCTTTTACTCACATTTTGATGTTGGTCTGTTACATCATAGTAATCATGTGTCACTTGAACCTACACTACTCCGATCCCCACTCGAGTCTTCAAGTTGTGCATTATAAATCTGTTCTACCAAATAAATAAATTAATAAATAAGACAAGCTATGCTTATTCAAGACATTATATACAAACTGTGAAGGAAAGTAGGGATTTTTTTTTTTTTCTTTCCGGGCTCTGTACATTGAAACAAAAGTGATACTTAATCTGATCAATACTTTCCCCCCTTGTGAGTCAGCGTTTTATCAGTCAGGGTAAGATTCAGATCTCTGCTGTTCCGAGCCAAAGTCTGGAGCACATTGTGATAATATTTGCTGTTCATGGAGTAGCCATCATCG